GCACCCCATGCAAACATATACATCCTTCTGCTATTTGTCATTCTCACTGAAGCATTCCATGTATGACTCCAGAAATATGAATAAGCAGAGCTATTTTCCGTTAAAGGTGGCAGTCAATAAAGATTTGCTTATGGATACAGCATTAAGGAAAGTACCAACTCTCTACATAGCTTCCAATTTGTGTGTGGATAATTGTGTGAGTGTGTGTGTGTGGACCTGTTATGAGAAGTCTCTTCCTATCTCTTTTAACAATCAGAGAATGCCCACCGTTTGTCTGCATATTTAACTAAAAAGGTAAAGTTTTCCCTGTCGGGTGTGTCCGACACTAGGGCATGGTCCTCCTTTCTGTTTTTTGGCCAAGGGAGCCAGTGTTGTCTGATCACAATTTCCATGGTCATGTGGCCAGCATGGCTATATGCCAAAGGCGCACAGAATGCTGTTACCTCCTCACCCAAGTGGTACTTATTAATCTACTTGCACTTGCATGCTTTCGAACTGCTAGGTGGGCATATTTAACTAGGAGACACTAAATTAATTGCTCATAGGTCTAGGATTGCAAGATGAGAAATCAACCATAATTGCATCACAGGCTCCTATATCCAAAACTGCTTGATAAAATGGGTATCCTGTGTTCCAGTGGCAGCCACATGGTCTAAAACTCTCCATCTATGTAAGCATCTTCACAAAAAGTTTTATCTCCTGAAGGTGAATCCCTGCAAATTGATTAAGACAACTGGCTCCTTTGGCTATAATTTACTAATGAGCTTCCTTATTTCTTGAATGATTCTTTTTAAAAACTCACTACTGCAGTCAGATCAGATGCTACAAAAGAGGAAGCTGAGTGCATTTTAAGCACAAGGGATCCAAATTCTTCTCCATCTTTATGCCAAAGCTGGTTTTAGCCAATGAGAAAAATTAGGTTTAATTTCCACATACATAAATATAAATAGATTAGAAGCAATTGCATATTATGTAACCTTTCTGGTTCTCCTGGACTTAGGAGCTGACAGACTATCCTGACTTGATGTTATGTATGGCTGATAAGCATATGCTTTGAGGGCTGTATCTTGGCTACCAGGCCTATGCACAGGCTCTAATGTTTTAGCAATGGAAAAACACTGAGAACTATGTTGATTTTTTTTAATCGGCCTAATGGTTTGATTGTTTCCAGACTTCTATTTTCAAGCACTAGGGACACCAATTTAGGCATAAGGCCTAAAAAACAAATCAAGTCAACTCTTTACAATAAACTACTGGAAAAACTGTCCAAGTCAAGTTTTGCTATAACATTTCATATTATTTGGATAGGGCAAATGTGTGGGGAAAGCTACATGAGTCTTTTCTTCTTACTTGTTTTGAGCTATGTTTGTCAATAAAAACTAAGCAAGGTAATTCATTCTTCCCCTCTTGCAACTTATTGAGTTACTCTGAGGTAAGATGGACAGCCAATAAATTTTATAAACAAACAAAACTTATACACCTAGTTTAATTTTCAGCAGGATTTAATAAATTATATTCAGTGTATTAAAAAGAACATATACCTAGTATTTTTGACAAAAAGCACTAAAGCCTACATATCATAAGCTATAGCTTTTGGAAGGCCAAATTGCACTGACTCACTCATATACACCCACAGACACAAAGCATTTCATGGCTATGCCAGAAATATTTTGATGTAAAGAAGCTAAGCATTTGAAATGGACATTCTTGAATCTTCAAGCACAATTTTTGAGTGTACAAATAAATCTGTAAATCAATCTAGTAGTTATTTTGCTATGGATCCTAGTAACCAATATGAATCCTTGCTTCATCTTTATACAAATGTATTCATATTGTTAAAATTTTATTTATTTATTACATTTATAGGCCACCCATCTCACGGCCACACAACTCTGGGTGGCTAATGACACGATAAAACAATATTATAAAACCATAAGTGTAACATTAATAGAGAATTAGCTAAGATGGGGAGTTATAAAATGGGATGAAGGTGGGATCTTTAATTTAATTTGCTAATCCCACCTCCAGAACGGCACACCCATATCTGGACCTGAGGAAAATAGAAAGAGACAGGTTCAAGGCCTTTTGGAAGGCCAAGAGGGTAGGAGCATATCTCATCATGAAAGGTATGGTAGAAACCACAGCAGAAAAGGCTCTTCTCTTGCACCTCATTAGTTGGAATTCGTTGGCCAACGGGGTCTGCTCGTTGCTCTTTCTGCCTCCCTGAGTGGAGCAGGCCAATCCCATTGTGGTGAGATACCTCCTCAGGTTCCATCAACCAAATGTATTACAGCAAACAATGGAGGCTTCTATGAAAATATTTCCGAGCTTTACTTCAAACTAATTCTGGGACTATTATATCCCATATTATGGCTACTCATTAGATTTAATACACTGCAAATGCACAAAACTATTCTTCAAATTTGTGTCTATTAGAATACTATTCTATGTCATTGTGTGCATTTTCACTCCAGATATGTACACTTTTAAATAGAACCACTTATAGGCTCTATCTTTGAACTTTGTTACTATATCTTTTTCATGGTTGCATAAGCCCTTATCATAATCTACAAACCTCCACTCCAGTGTTAAGATTTGTTACACATATAATCACACTTTGCAATTTTATAGACAGAGAATAGATTTAAATCAATTTTAGTTTGTAAATCAGCAATCAAGCTTGATGAAATAAAAAAAAACCACTAACAAATCACTAAAAAAGCCATTCCTCTGGTCCTGGTGACCAATCCTGATTGGACCCTGTAACATTATCCTTGGACATGTATATTTATTCATGAAAAAACACTAAGGTATAAAAAAGCAAATGGGGGTTAATAGATAAGAAGAAATAAATCATGTTAACTTCAGTTGCTGGAATTTGGGCTGAAGGATGAAACATATCAATTAATTAAGTGATAATTCCTTTACCAGTCTCACGGTATTTTAGAAGGATAACTATCACTGCAAGCAACACTGCCATCTACTGTCTCAGCTGCACTGTGGTGTTTTTTTTTTAAATGCTGGCATGTACACACCGCTGTTGCTTATAAAATGCAAATGCCAGATGATTACCACTTTCTCATTTTAGCTTTCAAATGTGAGGTTGGATCTGAACAATTATTACAAAACTTTAATAGAACAAAAAGCTGTAGAAACAATAGCAGGCAACATCTTGTCAAATATAGTACCGGTACTCACCACAATGCCTAGCCACATGAACCTTTGGTAGGCTCGGTACAGAGCCAATTATTATTTTTTGTACTGATATTCACATTTTTAGCGTGGGAGCAAAATATGGCTGACTTGGTGGGACGGCTGTTTTTTTTCTGACTATACTTATTTCTATTTATTTAAAGCCACCACAGTCCTATTAGAGAAGCTTAAGAAACCCGTTCAAAGTCAACTTGTGAACTCATGATTCAAGTCCAATTTTTGAGCCACGGTATACACAGTATCTACAGATAAAACAATAGCAATAGCAGTAGAATTTAAGACTTATACCCTGCTCCTTAGTGCTTTACAGCACTTTCTGAGCAGTTTACAATGTAAGCATATTGCCCCCAACTAGCTGCATCCTTATTTTACGGACCTAGGAACAGAAGTGGTATTCAGCAGGTTCTGACCAGTTCTGGAAACTGGTAGCGGAAATTTTGAGTAGTTCGGAGAAACAGCAAACACCACCTCTGACTGGAGATTTTACAGTATCCTTCCCCTGCCACGTCCACCAAGCCACGGCCACAGAATTGGTAGTAAAAATAATTGAATCCCACCACTGCCCAGGAAGGATGGAAGGCTGAGTCAACCTTGAGCCCCATCAGGACCAAACTCCTGCTGTGGGCAGTTAGCCTGCAATACAGGTACTCCTCGACTTACAACCACAATCAACCTCAAAATTTCTGTTGCTAAGCAAGATAGTTGTTAAGTGAGTTTTGCCCCATTTCACAGCCTTTCTTGCCACAGTTAAGTGAATCACTGCCAAAGTTTCCCGATTAACTTTGTTTGTCAGAAAGTCACAAAAGGTGATCACATGACCCTGGGACACTGCAACTGCCATAAATGAGTCAGTTGCCAAGTATCTGAATTTTAATCACATGATCATGGGGATGCTGCAATGGTTGTGTGAAAAATGGTGATAAATCACTTTTTTCAGTTCCATTATAACTTCGGTCACTAAATGAACTATTGTTAAGTCGAAGACTGCCACTGCGCCTCACTCATTTCCAAAGATGGATGACTAGGATTCCTTCTGGAGTCCAGATGTGTTTGCTTTTTTCCCTACACATCTGATTTCACAGGGTAATAATGTTAGGAGTCCCACAAAACCCAGGTATCCTCAGTGTCCATCAGAAACCACTCTCAAGAGTTCCTACATTAAATGCAACTTGGAGTCAAGCTCTTTCATTTGGCTCTATGGACGCAACCAGGCAGCTTCTTTGCTACCCATGCACATGTATTTTTCCATTCCCAATCCAGTCCTCTGATTTCCTGGTGGTCTCCCATCCAAGCAACCCGATGCCGTTTGGCTTCCCATCTAATGGCAAGATCGACCAGGAGCTTCCCGGCATACCAGGAGGAGCCCAGTCCAGCTAAGAATGTTTTTTTTTTTTTTGCAGTATCCCCTTCTCCTCCCACCAGTGGGAACCACACACACTTTCTAAGCTTTCCTCCTTCAAATACAAATGGAAGACCATGTGCATTGGCTCCGCGAGTCCCTCTTCGTAGCCCCAGCCCCAGCGCCGAGCATCCTCTCCTTGGGCTGCCCTGACATTCGTTTATTCCCTAGCAAGCCGCTCCCGTACCAGGACCCACTCTTCTCATCCCCATGGCAACAGCGAGGCGCACCAGCAGTAGGAAAAGGCGCGCAAGAGCTCGCCCTCCCTTCCCCCTCCCTTTCTTTACGGCGCGTCGTAAACCGTCTCTGCAGCCCCTTGTGCTTCCGCCAGCTCCAGTCGACAGCACGGAGAGAGAGAGAGAGAGACAGACAGACAGAGAAAGCCGTAAAGCAGCGCCTCTCCCCGCGCTTAGTAACGGGTGGCGTTCCGACCGCTGCCTTGGAGAGAAGGAGGAGGCGGGGTCAGAATGGAAGCTCCGCCCCTCTGGCTTTGTGGCGGGGTGGTGGGGCGCGACCTATGCCGGATTTGGGGGGCGGGGAGTGAGACCAGTTGCTTGCCGGTTTGCGATTTGGGACGATTTCCTTTCCCGCCTCGAGCCTTGCCTTGTCTATTGTGAAAGTCTGTGTGTGTGTTGTGTGTGTGTGTTGTGTGTGTGTGTATATGTGGGTGGGTGGGTAGGTGGGTGTCCTTCGGGGTTTATTGTTCTCTTCGTTCCCACCGGAGGCGCCGGGGCTGGAGTAGTATGGCCCGGGTGGGGCGGCCCCTTGCACGCAAGCTGACTTGCTCCGTTCCCACGTGCTTTCGCAGACGAGGCGGGGTGACACCTGAAGGGCTCTCCGGTTCTACCCCCACATCTCTCTGATTCCCCTTTCCAGGCTGGCAGCGGCAGTCATGGCCCAAGTGGGGCACAGGGTGGATTACCTGGCGGGATTTTGCTGTCCGGTTGGGGGATTGGCAGCCGGGAAGCCCCGCGTGCTGTGCCACGAGAACCAGATCTACCTCTCCAATGGCACCGAGTACGTCTATGTCTACGACCAAGAAGGGCGGCTGATGAAGGTACGTCTGGACTGGCGCTTGGTCCTGCTAGCCGAGCCTCCTCCTTTCAGGGCCAGGAGCCATGGGGAGATACCAGACGCTGGAAATCAGGTCAGATGCTGAGGAGGCAATTTTAGGGCTGACGGAGTGGCTGAAGGAGGCAGAGCCTCTAAAGATCCTGACAGCAGCAGCAGCAGCGTCTTTAAAAGTTTGAAAACACTAGTATGTTAATAATTTCAGGATCCTAGCTGATCTCTCTTAACCTGGTTTACTATCTTCCATCAGTGTACAGAACAATGCATTGTTTAAGCACTGAAGACAATTGCAGGTGCAATTCACACTGCATCCTTTAGCGCTAGCTTAAAGCTATCTTCTCCAGTCTGACAGCTTCCAGATATAATGAAGTACAATTCCACTGCTCTTTATTTAGTGTATGATGGGGATTGTTGTCCAAAGCATCAGAGGATGCTGGGATGGATTAAATACCACTACTGTATGTCTGCAGCAGGTTGCTGTATCAATCAATGACCTTGATTGATCTAAGAAGCAAAGCAGGGTCATCCCTGGTTAGTATTGGGATGGGAAACTTCTAGGAATTTCTGGTCTGCAGACCAGACAGGGAAGCTTGAAAATGTGTTCTGCAAGAATGCATTGGCAAACCATACCATACTGTTGGCAAGAAGGCTGCATGGGTGTACCCAAAAGTATCTGTAAATTGAGTTTGACTCGGTGGGTAAAAATTGATTTGAAGACATGCCTTCATTTTCATGGTAGCTCTATTTCCCAGTTTGTAATTTTATCTTGAATTTTATTCAACACCGTAAATGCTAAAAATAAACATGTTTATGCAGCACATGAGCACGAAGTGAATTCTATACAGATCTACCTTATGTCACTAATCCTAATTTAAATACAGCATTTGAACTAAAAAGAGAAAAAGTAGAACAGCACTGCAACACAATAATGTTATCCCTTACAGCATGTTGAATTTCTCTGCTCCTTCCCTTCAGGAGACTCAAAGATAGAAGTAGTAGCGGGTTTGTTTAAGAGTCAAAAGTACTGACAGAAAGCAAACTCTTGCACCAGAGGAAACTGTGTAAAGAAAAGCAATAATAGCATACAATGTACCTTTTGCACAGTGGGAGATAACTTAGAAGTTTGGGCTACAAAATCTCTAATTTGTCATGTTTCTGGGAGCTAAGGAGTAGTGCAGAACTTCTGTAGGGCACCAGCTAATCTATCCCAGTCATAAAAGATGTCCTGACAGTATGGAAATCCATTCTGTGATTGGATTGTGACCAGTATTTTTTGGCGAATATACATGTGCCAGGTATTTTTTTATTGTTCATCATTTTAGGACGCTTTCAAAACACATTGGTTTACATTTGCTACCAGGAACCAAAATATTTTGTAAATAAGTGCTGGAAGTTGTTTTCCTGCATGTGAATTTTTAGGAGAAAAGCAAGACAGTGGGAGAAAATGAAGTTTGCTTTTCATAATTCTGGATCAGAGCAAAAGATACACCACATTCTCTTTATCCATACTGTTAGCTCCTATGCTATTCCTGATAAATGTAAAACTTGATCAGAAATGTAGCTGAAACTGGGGCATTGTGTTTTTCCTTCATTAGTCCCTTGAGCTTCTAATCTGTTATTTCTTTAAAAAAAGCCTAGTCTGCTTCTTACAAGCAGAGAACAGATGAGTGGAATGCACTGCTAACATAGCTTGTGTGTGTGTGTGTGTGTGTGGGAGGCTTAATAATAAGAGTGGCACAGTAGTTCAGAGAAAGAACCAACATGAAATGGATCCTATATGGTTAACCCAGACTGGTTTCATGCTTTGTTTTCTGCCCTCCCCATCACATTATTCTAACTGGAGCCCAAGATCACCCAAGTTCAGTCCCGCTCTCCCTCCTCCCCACTTTATCTGGTATTTTACATAAATAGTCTGCTGGAAACCACAGCTTAATGTTTGAAAGAGTCCTTGGATTATTAATTTTTTTCCTATAAAATTGAACAGGCAGAGATGATGTGTGAGATGCAGAGATGCTCTTAACTGTTCAAATCCTTAGTTTAGATTTTTCTTGATGATTTTTTATGATATCTTTTTCACCATAGCAACCTTTGGTAGCAAATTGGTTGTTCTTCATAAGTCACCTACGTGTAGCATCCAATTCTTGACATCAATCTGTGGTGATTTCCCACCCACCCCCAACCTCTTAAAACTGTCCTTACAAATCTGCCTTTTGTCTCTAGAGTAGTCTTGTTGAACTAGAAAATGAAGATTATGTTTTCTATTTGCTGTATTGGCACAAGTGATACATATATGAAATATATTTTCCAGTGTTGCATAGATTTTCCAGTGTTGATTCCTAGATTTAAATCATACTTTCACACATTAAAGCAATGTTTCTGAATCTCCACCATTTTAAAGTGGGTGGATTTCAACTCCCAGAATTCCCCAGCTGGTAAGCTGGCTAGGGAATTCTGGGAGTTGAAATTGCATACTTGAAACTTATTGAGGTTCAGAAACCCTGTATTAAAGACACTCCTTTAATTTATTCTTTTGATTTTACCTAAGAAGCCTATTTTGATAATAACCAGCTGAACCGTGCACACTTTCCACTCACATAGAGATAGGTAACAAATAGGTTAATATGCATATAGATTATTACTTTCTCATAAAAATGATAAAAATACAGATTTTGCAGGGCTTTCTCATGCAGAGATGATACTCCGTTCTCTGTGCTTATAATACTGTTGCAGCTTTGACTGCAGACCGATGTTTGTGTTGGCTGCTGCTTGCTCTCTCACTGCTGAAATGATAGCCCCCATCTTGGATATAATATGCCACTTGTTCAGCAACGTATCAGCAATCGTTAATGGCTTAAAAGGAGGAATGACATGCAAAATAACATTCTCCTCTTATTGCAGGGTATGCTTTTGGGTGAAAATAGTAACAACTGCACATCCTCAGATAAAGAAACAAAACAAATAATCTTTACTTCAAGCTTCCCTTGAGTTGAGAATGAAGCTCCTTTTAAATCAAGGAATATTCAGAAAATGGCTTCAGACTAGATGTGCCAAGGTGTCTTAAATGATACTCGGAGGATCCTGATTCTGCACAAGACAGCAACTTATTATTTGATTATAGTAGATTCCTATTCCATCATAATCTATCCAGTCCTCAGTGGCGGTTAGTCCTTCAAGGTAGTCCAGGCAAGAGGCACAAACAGGAGTAATAGCTCTCTACTTCTGTTGTAAGTCTGCACACATTTCTCTCTTCCTCTCATTTTAACTTTCCAGACCTCCCAGAAACAGGGAGTAGTTGCTTGTTTCTCCTGACAGAAGCACAGGCGAATTTCATAGGGTGCTGCAGTTCTGCCAGTAACCTGTTGCCAAGCGTGAAGGTCTTTGTAGATTAACATCCACGCTTTAGTTTGCACACAGACGCCAATGAGCAGCCAAAGCGGAGCCTGCAGTAACAGAGGTTATGGACTCCTCAAGTGATGTCCGGTGGTGAGCATTTGATCCACTGCATTCTCTACCAACGGAAGCTTCCAGGTGGTGATTAAAGGCAGCCCTGTGCATTGTGGTAGTTGAGACAGGTGGTGATATAGCTCGGCTTTTGGAGAGACAGATTTTCAATCTCCTCGTTGTTTTGGTTTGCACTTTTTCACCAGATGAAGTTTGTGGCCTCCGCAGGTGAGGATTACCAGCTTTTCACCAGCATTGTGTTCACGATTTTGACAACATGTGGCATGAGGGGAGTAAATTGAGGTGAAATTTCTACCACTTAACCTACAGGTGGAGAAAAGCTTCACCTACTCAATGCTACTTTACTAACAAAGAAACAGTACCAATAATAATTTAAAAAAATAAATAAATTCAGTGGTGTAAAGACTCTTAATTCCTGTAATGAAATAAGTGTCAAGCACCAGGGTAAGGTTACAGGTAGATCTCCTTTAATGATTGTCTTATTTAGTGACCATTTGAAATTATGACAGTGTTGAAAAAGTAATGGTTCTCACATGTATGCCTGTCACAGCATCCCCATCAGGGGTGGGATTCTATCAGTTCGCACCTATTTGCTAGAATCGGTTGTTAACATTCTAAGCAGTTTGGAGAACTGGTTGTGAGAAGAAATTACTGGCCTAATCCTGTAAGGAAGGCAGGAAGGAAACATTCTGGTGTTGCTTACAGAAACTGCCTCTCCGTTGACCCTTATTACATTCTTGGCAGGACTAGACTTTCTGTCTTAGGAATGTGTCTGGAGTTTTTTTCCCCCTCCTTTGCTGGTACTTGTGTGGAGTGACCATTCAAAGTTACAATGGCACTAAAAAAAAGTGACATGACCATTTTTCACACTTATGACTGTTGCAGCATCCTCACAATCATGAGAGGCCAGGCGAGGAGATGTGTACCTTCATGTGAGTGATATTGAGTTGGCCATACCCAGCCAATAACATGACCACTAAGCCACACCCACCACCTAAGCCACGCCCACAGAACTGGTTGTTAAAAATTTGAATCCCACCCCTGATCCCCATGTTCACATAATCAAGATTAGGGTACTTTGCAACTGGAGGCGGGGGTGTTTACCACTGTCACAGCATCCCGCAGTCATGTCATTGTCATTTGCACCCTTCATAAGTTGTCTTCTGACAAGCAGAATCCATAGAGGAGCCAGCAGTAAAATCGCAAGTCACGGCCATGTGCTGTCTCACTTAATGACTGTGGCAGAAGTGAGGGAGGGATTTCATTGTGGCTGTGTTATGTTTTCCTTAACAACCCTGTTGCTTAGCAACTAAATGAGGACTGGTGCTAGTTTGATAGTAAATAATGCACACTTTGGCTTATCTGGAACCAAAGCAGATTTTATTAGGGAAGATCTTCCCTGCTCATTCTAGGGCTATTGATGACCAGTTGGATATATATTTATGTGCCCAGTCTTCCTGTGAGGTCTAATATCAGTCTATAAACCAGAAAATGGGCTGTAAAAGATGTCTGCTAATGCATATTTTACCTCCCTGAAGGCTTTTTGCGATCCTCCTTCCTGTTTTCTTCCTAGGCTGTCTACAGGTTTCCTGATCAAGTCTGGCATGTGGAGCTCTTGCCCCTCCACCATCAGCTGTATATTCTCTGTGCTGGAGTTGGCATTTATTGCGTGTCCTTGGACTATCAAAGCAGGTGAGGGATGGAATGTGATTGCATTAAGTATTCCAAGCTTCCTCCCTTGCCTAAAATTCTTGAATTAAAGGCTGGAGTGATCACATAGACTAGGAACATAGAAAGATAGGGCTGGAAGCAGGGGTGGGATGCTACTGGTTCTGCCCGGCTCTATAGAACTGGTAGCTCTGAAGAGCAGCAGACACAGAACCGGTTCTGTGTCTGATGCTGTTTGGCCCACCTGCCGACCCGGGCTCTTCTCTGACCTTTATTTCCTGCTTTTTCAATCTCAGCTGCTTTGCGCGGCACAACATAATAACCGAACCGGTAGTAACACCAGTTGAATCCCAACCCTGGTTGGAAGGGACCTTGGAGGTCTTTTGCTCAAGCAGGACACCCTATACCATTCCAGACAAATGGCGGTCCAGTCTTTTCTTGAAACCCCCCCAAGTGATAGAGCACTTGTAACCTCTGGATGTAAGGATAGGGTAGGATATATGATAGGATTTGGATATAGGATATAGGATATAAGATAGGATAGGATAGGTCTGATATGTTGATCGGATGTGGCCAATTGAACCTCTTTTGAGCCCACAGAGGTCAGATGATTCATAGAGAAATCGGATTGGGAGCTTTGGGAATGATCTTGCTGTCGATGTCATCTAACTCCTCCCTTAGGCTAGTCAGGAGCTATGCTTATAATAGGGGAGGGGAATGTACGCAAAAGGGGTTTGAAGGAAGTAAGCAAGAGATAGCAACAGGAAGCTGCTCTAAAAGGCATCTCTAAAGTAGCGGGGGAGGGGGGGGGGAGAACTCGGATTCTTTGGAGAATGCAGGATGTTTCCAGACGGTTGGGAGTTAGGGGCAAGAGGAACAAAGACAAGGATACCTTAAGTTAGGAGAAGAGAAGATGGTTAAGTTGCAATGCGGGGGGGGGGGGGGGGGGGGGATATGACATTTTCAAGAAGAATCACTCACCCATCTCTGTTACTAGATTCTGGGCCAACAGCAATTTTCAAACCGTATTCAAGAGGCCAAGAAGCACAGTGTAATAAGCACATCTTGGTATTACAAGACACGTGCCACCAACAGCAGCTTGCTGGGCAGAAGTTCGGCAAAAGCTGAATACGTATGGCATCTTTTCTGTGTCCGTATTGGATTTAGGAGGATGTGTTTATTAATCGGGAATGAGACCTTAAACATGGTACATCACTCAAATCCTGTACCCCAGACCCCCATCAATGAGCAACAAGCCCATTTTGCCCAATGTTATACACCCAGTTTTCTGTCAATGTCAATCAGAATAGAGCTGGAAGGGACTTTGGAGGTCTTCTAGTCCAACCCCCTGCTCAAGCAGGAGACCCTAATGACTATCGAGTCTCTTCTTAAAAGCTTCAGTGATGAAGCACTCACAACTTTTTACAGCAAGCTGTTCCATTGGTTAATTGTTCTCACTGTTCTCCCCTAGACACATGGAAAGGCTAACAAAACATGCAATCCCGAGCATTGACTAGAATCTTGGCATTGTGGAAATCAAGGTTTGTCTTTTCCTTTCCCCACTGAGCTTGCGTGGGCAGTATCTGTTGGGCAGTGTTGAACATCAAGGTTTAGCGACCATTGTCTAGACCAGTATTGGTTCAAGTGTGCTCTGAGGACCTCTGGAGCTCCACCAAGACCTTCTCAGGCTCTGTGAAATCAAAATTGTTTGCCAGATATTAAACTTATTGCAAAACTTTAAAGCAATGTCACTCTTCTCATTTTTGATTTGTTAAAAAATGCAGGTTTTCTTCATGAAAAAAATTACATCAGTGTCTAATAGGTTTAATATTGTTATTTTTACATGATTCGATGAATAAATATTTCACGAATGTGTCCATTTTAATTTTTAATATGGTAAATATTGATAGATAAAATCCATAAAAATTGTAAGCTCTTTTGGGATTCTCTCTAGCTTTTAAGCACAGGAAGAGGTCTTAAGAACAAAAAGTTTAAGAAACACTGGTCTAGACAACAGATTTCCTGATGATTTGCTAGAAACTGTGGTTAGCATCTTCAAAGGCAGGATAACCATTCAAAAGTCTGGTGAAACATCAGGAAATCGGTTGTCTAGACCAAGGGTCGCCAACCTTTTGGACCTTAGGGAACACTAAACTCATAATTTTAATTCCCACTGATCAGAGACCCTGGGAAAATCCTCAAAAAAGTCTGCAGGAAAATTCCCCACCCCATTTTCCTACTGATTGATCATTCTTTATTTGGGATCGCAGGATACCATCTCCAACTCCATTCTCGGGGTGAGGGGGTGAGAGAGAGAGACTTTTGGCTTCATGCAAGGAAAGCAGCAGAAGCAGCAGAACTCTTTCTCTTCCCCAAACTCCATCAGAAATGAGTCTTTGCCAACGCAGCCTCTTGGAGCAGGAGGCTTTGCAGAGTCCCAAAGACTCATTTCTGGCGGAGTTTGGGGAAAGAAAGAAAAACTTTTGCTGCTTTCCTTGCGTTCAGCCAAAAGCAGAAGAAGAAAGAAGCAAAAAGAAGCAGCCCGGTGGCCAGGCGAGGCATGTGGGGCAAGTTCCTCCCCTCCGCCCTTTCCCCCTCCTCTCACTACCTCGTGTTGTTCGCAGTACAAGACAACGCAAGCCTTGTGTTCCTGTGGGCCATGTAGGCGGTGCAGCCTTGTGTTCCCACGCAGCCTGGATTAATTGCTTTTGGGGAGGGGTGCTCTGGGGGTGACATTTCTCTGCGGACCACCAACATTTTCTCGTAGACCACTGGTTGGCGACCACTAGTCTAGACCATGATAATTAAATCCTGAAGCTCAACACCCTCCTGAGGTTGCCTTTCCTTATCTAGTGAAACTGTTAATACCATCACACAACACGTGCAAACAACAACTTCACACTTTGCTGCTTTTAATGGAGGCTGGGTCAAGGAGAGCATTCAAATCTCCCTGCCAGTCCCATTGACCCAGATAGAGCATCTATCTAATGTAGCCTGTAGGAACACATTAGAAATCTTCAGGGAGTCCTGTTCTTGGCTGTCACATCTAGGTTGTCCCTTGGCTGTTTTTGTGTGTTTTTCTGCCATTCATTCTTTTGCCATTCTTTTCCAGGTTCCAAGCAGCTTAAAAAAGAATTCTTGTCGGCAAAAAGTAAAAAAGTAATTAAGGGGCTAGAACTTCCCTCCAGAGGTGTTGTTCTGTCCGTCTTAATCCAGCTCTCCCCATTCCTGAATCCAGCTCAGCGAAGCGGATGCTAAACCTTCTGATTTGCCAGTGCTATTTCCGAGTTTTCTCCCTTTGGCTAGTCTGAGAGGTTTTTCTTGTTTGCTTTGAAGGTTAGTGAAGCAGACGGATGGCGAGGAAGGCGATTGCTTTTCCAGCATTTTCCCCATGGGCTGTGATGCCTGCGCTCTCCCTGATGCCACACTTTGCACCTTCACGCTGCTCAATGATGTCTTGGTCACCCTTTCCCAAGTCCGGGAGAAGTGGTGCATGAATCTCCACAAACTCCCAGGCCCTGAGAGCCAGGAGAAATTGCCACATCAGCCAGTCAGCCATGTAGACATCACCACCAGCACAAGCAACGATGGCGATATGTCTTTAGCCCACTTCCTCCCGGTGCTGTGTTGTGCATCTGCTCCTGGTGCCAGTGACCATTGGGAGGGACTTCGCCATTCTGGGGGGTTCGTGTTGGAGGAGCCCCTCTTCAGCCTCCTTTTCGGTGTGGACGCTGCCCTGCTAGATTCTCCCATGATCCTCTGTGGCTTCCCCGATGGGCAGTTGTGTTCAGTGCCTTTGAAGGCCCTAAGCTCCCCTGGAGACCACGGCTGGGAAGACTCGCCCGTCAAGATCCTTCACCATCTGGAGGAGCCAGTGGTCTTCATTGGGGCCCTGAGGACTGAACGGAAATCCCTGGGTGTGGAGGAGAATCCAGCCTATGGAGGCTTGGGTTGTGACTGTGTTGTGGCTTTGGGACACTATGGTAAAATGGTGGCCATCAAGGCCTCTCAAGGAGAAGAAGTCAAAGTCCCAGAGCTCCGGGAATATTATCTACAAGGACCAGTTCTGTGTGCAGCCTGCAGTGGGGGAAGCTGCATGTACTACAGCACCCATTCTGACATCTACGCGGTTGACTTGGACAGCAACACACCTGAGGCTGAAAAAGTGGAGGCTCCGGCAGGGACCCTTCCTTCAGCTGTGTCTCCTGCCAGCTTGAGTATCTGCAGCGTGGTGGCGCTTTCCTTATCTTCCCGGGAGTCAGAAGGTATTAATTAGACCATGAGAACAGGTCCATGGTCTGGAACGGTAGAGTAATCCTACCAACCTGTCTGGATACATCCTATTGAACCTGTCAGACAAGTCATTTAGCAACCATTCAAAATTATGACCTGGAAAAGGAGACTTATGACCTGAATTGCAAGTTCTGACAGTTGCACCCGCCCATCCCCCATGGTTATGAGGCAGCACTTTGGGTGTCTGGCAGTATGGATGCCTTCATGGCCATTTGCAGTGTCCTACAGTCACGTGACCATGCTTTACGATGGTTTTGCAGTTTTTTGGCAGAAACCACTCCACAGCGAACAAGGGGTTCACTTAACAACCGCAGCATTCACACTTAGGACTGCCGTGTTCGCTTAGTGACTGCTGGAAAAAAAAGTAAAATTGGGTCAGTCACAAATGGTTTTATGATCATTACAATTTGCAAGCATTATGAGAAGGCCCCATTAAGGTTGCAACTGTAGAACTACCTGCAGTAAATTAGGAAGAGAAACAAATAAGACACGAGGAGGACGTAGTGGTGTGGACAGAATGTATCTTGATCCAGGCTCAAGTGCTGATTTGTATTTGCACTTCTTTTGCCGAAAATGAATTTGTCCATGGTACAGATAGTCCTCAACCTATGGCCACAATTGAGTCCCAAATTTCCATTGCTTAAGCAAGACGATGATTGTGAGTTTTGTCCCATTTTACAATCTTCCTTGCCGCAATGGTTAAATAAATCTCTGCAGCTGTTAAGTTAGTAAAATGGTTGTTAAGTGAATCTGGCTGTGAAAAGTGTGAAAAACAGTCATGCCACTTTTTTCAGTGCCGTGATAACTTCAGATTGTCAGTGAACAAATGATTGTAACTCAAGGACTACCTGTTTTACCTCAGAACAAATGGGGATCACATCCAGAAAAGCTCAAAAGAAGATTTTATTTAACGCTGACCTTTTCTTGGGCCCACAATGGCCTTGACAGAGAGAAAAAAACCCTTTTGTCTCTCCTTAGGTTGGCCAGGGCAGCAACTAAGTGTGTTACTACATTGGGCTTTTGAGGTGGCTACATGAAAGAAGAGAGTTGTGCGCTCCTTTGTTCCAACGTGTGTCAAACAATCCCTGAGCTGCAGACTTCAGTCAGGAGACAGAGATTCCTAGGCAATCCATCCTTCAGCTTGTGGTATTGCTGAGAGACCTTGGCAATCATTTTAAGATTTTATCCAAGATTGGGCAATGTTTGTGTCCGAGGCTGCCTTGAGCAGCTTCCATAGCAAAACACAGGGGCACCAAAGTGAGGACTTATCTGGGCAATAAGGTCATCACACAAACGTTACCATAATATAATTATGTCTCAATGTTTGACCCAGTAGATAACTTGCAGCAGGGGAGAGGAGTTATCAGTACCAACGTGTGGTCATTTATCCCCAGACACTCATTTGGTGATAACTACAGCTCATGATCATATAAAGGGGGTGATTACAGGTAGTCCTCAACTTACGATCACAATGGAGTCCAAAATTTGCATTGCAAAGCAAGACAGTGGTTAAGCGAGTTGTGCCCCATTGGACAACCTTTTTTTTTGCCACCATTGTTAAACGAATCGCTGCAATTATTAAGTGAATCCTATGGTTGTTAAGGGAATCTGGCTTTCCCCAGACATTGCTTGTTGGAAGCCGGCTGGGAAGTTTACAAATAGGGATCCACATGACTGTGGGACAGAGTGCAGCTGTCATAAAATACATCTTGGTTGCCAAGTGACCGAATTTTGATTACAGACCATGGGGATGCTGCTACGGTTGTAAGTGTAAAAACAGGTCATAAGTCACTTTTTTCCGTGCGGTTGTAAACTTTAAATCACTAAACAAATGGTTGCAAGTCGAGGATTACCTTTATGTTGACTTCACAAATAAGATTCTCCAGTTTTTCCTCGTCTAAGAGAAGCAGAAGTTCTTAAGATTTCCTTTCTCCCACCCACCCCTTTGTAATGACAATAACACTCTCTCAGGTCTTAGAGGTAGTGCACCTCCAGCATATTTCCCAGGGATGCCACTGTGCCTGTGGACACCCTCTCGTTTGCTTTAAGACTTCCTATACTTCATGAGCTTTTCATTTTTTTAAATAAACAAATAGGGATTAATGAAAAACTCTTTTAGGGTGGAATTATTATTTTTTTAAACGGAAGCTGGCATGCTGTAATGTGATGTCACAGGCTCCAGTCCAGCATGATAATTTCCAGGAACATCTCCAGGCTCCAAAAGAACTGTTTTTTTAAAAAAAAAACCCATAAAAATAAAAGTATTTAGCCTCTTATCTAGCTGCTCATGAAAATGACAGAAGTAAGTAAGGGTTCGTAGAGTGCAGTCTGCAGGAGGAAGAGCTGGCGTACTGGTCAATTAGTGCTTTGTAACCAGTTAGTTCCCCATGCAGCTATTTTGTTGCCCAACTCGCAAGATGTTCACTAAATTCCAAATCTGCCTGTCATCCACTCCAGGCTAAGAGATCCTGGGCTTCTATTCTGGTTTTCAGGTGCAGCGTTCCACTTCAAAACGGCGGGAAGGCGTCCTACCGTGTTTCAGAAACTGTCATCTGAGGGGCAGCAAAACTGAATTCATAACTAGATTCGGCTCTGTGGTTGCCTAGATTGCCTAGCCCCAGACCAGCTAAAAAGTTTTCTTTGTTTTATATCCCGACTTCATTATTTTTATAAACAACTCAAAGCGCAAACATACTTAATACTCTTTCCTTTTCCTATTTTTCCCCACAACAATCATCCATGAGGTGAATTAGGCGGAGAAAGTCCCCCAGCTGGTTTTCAGGCCTAAGGCCAAACTAGAACTCACCATCTCTTAGTTTCCATCCTGGTGCCTTAATCACTAGACCAAATTGAACTCTTTGTTCCCTTTCCTACCCCTCTCCTCATTAAGACCATTTTCTGTGGCTTGTTCATATCATACTAGCCCAGTCAGACAGGGGTGTCTTGATTTGAGGTGAAAGAGCTCGGCCCTTGCAGTTTTGAGGAAAGACTGTATGGTGATTATATGCTAGTGTGTGATGGTTTGTTTTGGGTTTTTGCACAGAGAAAAGCTTGAGGTCAGCTTCCATCAACTCAGCCCCATGAAGAAAACAGGAGGGTAGAGCTCTAATTCAAGAGCTCTGCCTCCTTCCAGTAAAATGGCTCTGAAATGCTGTAACCTGGGGAGGCTAAGCAGTTCGCCTCCTTTTCTTTCTTTCTTGTGCAAAACATTTGCATTGAGCTTGCTCACCATGCCAGAGGCATTCAGATCCTGCATGCAGGAAACAGACTTCTCTTCTAGCAAGGATTTGGAGGCCATTTGTCTCCCCCTTGAACACAAAGGAGGGGAAAGGGAGTGGGGGCTGCTCCAGCTACCAACAAGGTTTAAGGAAGCAAATGGCTTTGCACCCATCCTTGTCATCACAGGGATATTTGGCAGGTATGGTGGAAAGGCCTTGCCTAAAGGTGCTGCACTATTTTTTTGCCAAAAAAGAAAAGAAAAGGATAAGAAATGGGGATGTTTTGTTTGTGTGGACAAATTGTAGTGGTGAAGCAGTTTCTGAAAGCAGCAGGGAGGAGATTTAGAATTATGCAGCATGTGAGAAGCTGGTTCTCTGGCCCACTATAAGCTTTATTTTTAGTGCTGCTTTAATTTCTGAGCTGTTAATAGAGTTTTTCTCCTTCAACCTTCTGTACATGCTAATGAGATCCAGCAGCAAGCTTTCTTTTAAAAGGCTCTATTCAGGAAGTCCAATTCTTGGTTCAATCCCAGATCTTGTTGTGGGGTCAGTTGTCACTGTACCTCTTCCTTTCCCCAGAGGCTCTTTCTTCTGTTTCTGAACCCTAATTCCTTGCATTTTAGGATGAAATTGTTCTATTCGGAAAGAGTCATTAGCAAGTAAAATGAAGCATTCAACTAGGATAAGCATTCTGGAAGGGAACTTAGCTAGATATAAAGTTGCCCTTCTCTCTCTTCCTGGAAGTAGGTTTTCTGCCTGCTGTTTATCCCATTTTCTCTGCCCCCTGGAGTAGGGGAGTCTATAATGGCTTTGTTTGCTTCCAGCAAGAGTGTGATGGCGACTGAAGTTACTTTCTGTGCACAGAAATTAATCTTAGCTCTTCCAGGAGAGGCTGAGCGATGTTCTCTTCTTGTAGTTCTTTCTGCAGGCCGAGAAAATTATCCCTAGGTTAATACACGGGCAACCCAAATCCAGGCTGGATGTACACCCACACCAATATGCCACTATCCATATATGTACAACATAGCCAGTACACTTTTTATTCCCTCTTTAATTCTCCTGTGATCTTCTTTGCCCTTGTTCAACTTCCTCCCTCCAATGCAAAATATTTTCTGTCCTCGGTCCCCTTTCCAAGTTACTTTTTATCTTTTTCCTGTATAGGTGGGCACGTTTCCAGATAAAACACTGTGCTGCAGCCACCTGCCGTTTTATTGTAATAAATGTGGTGGAGTTGTGGTTTAATTGGCAACATGCCTGCTTCTCTTCTCTCTTTTGTGAAAAGGAAAGATTCTTTTGAATATCTGGTGCAGCAGGGATATTGAGGGGCATGTGCACAGTCAGAGACAGAGGTATTTCAGCTTTTTGTTGCATCATGAAAGCTGTCTTCCAAATGCTGGTTAGATTGCCCATTCTTTCCCTCTCTAAGGTTGTGTAACTACAACCTCCAAACCAGCATAGTTGTTCCAGAGCTTTTAAAGACACATGGTTCTAAGACAGCATTTTTCAAACTTTGCAGCTTTAAGATGTGTGGACTTCAGCTCCCAGAATTCCCCAGCCATCATGCTTGCCTGTTTGGAAAAACTGAATAATTATTTTTTGCGGTGGTAGTGGGGATATTGTATGTGGAAGTACACATCCTTCATGGTTTGGACATTTACATCCTCGACTTACAACAGTTGAGCTCAAAATCCCTCTTGCTAAGCAAGACAGCTGTTGAGTGAGTTTTGCTCCAGTTTACAAGCTTTCTTGCCACTTTTGTTAAGTGAATCACTGCAGTTCTTAAGTTAGTAACATGGTTGTTAGGTGAATCCAGTTTATTCATTTTGCTTGTCAGAGGTGACCATATGACCTCAGGACACTGCAACCATCATAAATATGAACCAGTTGTCAAACATACGATTTAGATTACGTGACCATGGGGATGCTACAACAGTCATAAGTTTGAAAAATGGTCACAAATCACTTTGCAGTGCTGTTGTAACTTTAACGGTCACTAAATGTATGTTTGTAAGACGAGGATTATTTGTATTTATTAGGGGTTTTTTTTATCCCAACTTTATTACTTCAAGGCATACATAATACTCCATCCCCTTATTTTTTCCACAACAACTCTGAGGTAGGTTGGGCTGAGAGAAAGTGACTGGCCCAAGGTCACCCGGCCGACTTTCATACCTAAGGTGGAACAAGAGCTAGAACTCACAGTCTCCTGGTTTCAAGGCCAGCACCTTAACCACTACACTAGACTACACAAATACAAGGAGTTCACAGGTTTTAAAAGCAGTGACATTTATTTATTTATTAAATTTCCAGGTCGCCGATCTCCCCTACAAGGTGACACTTGTAGGGGAGGTGCAAGAGATTCCGTAGGAGGTGGATCAGGACAAAAGCTAAATCTGATTTCATTTACTTTTGAATTAATTTAAAATTCAATTTTATACAATTATCATTCCATTGAGTGAAGGTAATATTGATTATCCTTCCATTGAGTGATGGTAATATTGATTATCCTTCCATTGAGTGATGGTAATAT